ACCTCCAGTCTTTCTTTATACAGAGGCAAATCCTATAAGAGTTGAAAAGCATATGAATGGAAACTTAAAAAGTTATATCATTGTTATTATGAGTTGAAGATGGAATTAAAAATGTACATCCATGTTTGGATATTCTATGTGTAATGGATAAAAGTCAAACATTAACTTCGAAGGGAGTCCAATACTTAAGTGAACATTTACAAATTAACAAAGCCTTGAGTAATTGCTTTTTCATGCAGCTATTTTAACTAACTTGAACCATTGAGTGATATTTGTGTTGATTTGTACATTTATTTGTTTCAGATTATGATTCGTCACCAGGACGGAGCTGCCATGGAGGATCTTTACTCCCAGCGGCTCAGGAAGAAAGCCCTCAGGATTACCAAAGACCCCCATCACCCCAGCCACAAACTGTTCTGTCTGCTGCCGTCTGGCAGGCGGTACCGCAGCATCAGGACTAAAACCACCAGACTCAGGGACAGTTTCATCCCACAGGTCATACGACTATGAAACACCTCAGCTTGCACTATTTTTATTGTTGTTTTTTAAAATAAAAATGTGTTTTATGTCTTGTATATATTTATATTGCATTGTTGATGAACCTGTGACCCAAGTTTTTCATTCATTAAACAACTACTCATAATGTAACCCCTCCGGCACCAACATGGTCGACTACAAGCATAATCCCAACAAACTCGGTCAAACAGGCCTGAGCTTCTCTCTGAACCTGACCTTGTGACCTCTGTCCTCTCACCTGTAGACTGAGTGAGGAGACGGTGACGTCCTGGCCGGTCTGCCTCAGCAGGTTCTCATCATGTGACACCACCACATGTCCGTCACGTGTCAAGTGACAGTCCATCTCAAACATCTGTGTGCCCTGCTCCGCCGCACTGCAAACACAAGGTCATAATTATCTGCACAATCACTTTTTACAATCCTGTTAACTGAGGAGACATGCACCCTTCTCCTAAAATACTAAGGAAATAATATGTCTAATTGAAAGGATGTAAGACGATTAATACAGCGAAGACAGGATTGTACACTGTGTTACATATTTACTATTCTTACATAAAGCATACAGCCCTGAAATAAAGCATATTTGATATCTTTTGAGACATTGATACGTTTTTGACTACCAAAAAACAGGAAATACAGTAATATTCCCCAGAATTTCTTTAAAACTGAATTTTTAAACTGTTTTTTATTTTCTATATAATCAAAACACACACATTTAAGCAAGTCTTTTCGTTTTTGGACTCTGCATATGAGCTGCCTGTTCTTACCACTGAGATATCCAGCGGCCATTTATTTGATCTTTTTGAAAAACAATGAAATAACTTTTTTTATTTCACTGAGCCTCCCCTCAAATAGTTTAGAGCCCCCCTAGGGAGACTTTCAAAGCCTCTTTTCTAAGACATGTTATGAAGCTGGGCAAACCCTCCGTTTCGGTTAGAAACTCAGTTGGTCACAGGTTCTCTAAAAAGTAGATTTTCCTGGTGCGAAATCTCCTCTAGAGTTTGGTACTCACTGTGTGAACGCCCCCATCGTGCTCTCTATCCTCTCTCCACATCCTGGAGACACACAGAGAGGTGAGGGTTGATGATGGCAATCAGTAAAGATACAGAAAAAAGCACATTTGGACGAACGTTCTAAGAATATTGCATCACTGTGTCTTCTGTAGGTGTGGCAGAATTAATGGATAGTAAAAGCTCTGATCTGACAACATACTGCGAGTATTCAGGTGCCTAAAATGAAAGTCATATCATTATTTGTTTAAGCCATAGACACATTTAGCAAATTAACTAACCACAATTTTTGTCCATTTGCAATCAGAGTGTTGCGTTTGCTCACTTTATTACATCTTCATGAGCTTTTGTGCTGCAGGCTAATGACAATATTATCAACAATGACAATTAGATTTTAAACCCTTTGGAGACAGAGCTTTTGTGTAGATTATTTAACATGCAGTGTGTGAATCAAGTGAATAAAACAAGCCTTTATATGGGGAAACAAAAGTACTTATAAGAGCAAACAACCCTCTATTTTCTTGTCACTTTGTACGGACTGCACCTGACCGACAGTGACCCTCTTACCTCCTCTGTGTGAGATGTGTCTGCAGTAAAAAGGTGTGCGTTTCTTCTTGTGGAGAATCTGGGGGTTCTTCAGCAGGAACACCGAGGTGAGAGTGTATCCACCCAGAGCTGGGAGGAGGAAATACAGAAAACTGCTCATCCTTCTCCTGCGAATACGTCCAGTGAGGTCCTGATCGAGTCCTGCACAATGTCACCGCTGGACAGCAAAGACACTGATCCAAGTGTGTCCTTCAGAAAAAGAGTATGTACAACAATCCCTCTGTGTGTGATCAGATCCAAAAGCTTGACTGAAGACAACCTGCTCTCTGTTTTCTTCGAGAGACAAGAGAAAAACTGGACAGACCGGTAAGACGAAGGAAGGCTCTTTCTCGCTGATTCAAACTTCAAAGCAGTAAAAGTCTGTTAATAAAACACCAGCTCCTCACCCAGAGCTCACCTCTCGACTATCTGCCTCTGGCCTCTCCCCCGCCTGTGGCTCTACCTTTCCTCTCTGTAAACTGCTTTTGTTCCCGGGTTAGTGTTGGCTTTGTGTGTTTCCTTTGCCAATCATTTTCTAGGATTTAATTTGCTTTTCTTTGATAGCAAGTACTGTGATTATGACCCCAAAGCAACATTTTATGATAAAGAAGCAGTGGTTGTTATCTGTTGTGCAATCCAGATTACAGTTGAGGCATTATGGGAAATACATTTGTTCATAAACTGGTTAATCTTTAGAGCTTTTGGCTAAGAATATTTGAAAAGCAGATTTTGACAACGGGTCAGGTTCAAGTGCTTTACAAAAACATCCAAAGCATTAAGACACAGTGCAAAAGAAGCATATTATGAAATGCCATTAAAGCAGTCATTCAATAACCAAGAGAACATAAGTTAAGACAAGCTAAGATAGGATAAGAAAGGAAACAAAATAAAGTTACAGTGCAGTGTCTGATATGAATAAGAATTCAATTTAATAAAAGAAAGTGGCAACCAGGAAACACTTCAGCCTTGATTTAAGTGAGGAAGCAGTACACCTTTACAGAGAAATGGAACATAACTAAATGTTTTTTCCCGAAGTTCAGTTTTATTATGGGTTCAGCACAATACAAAAAAAAACATAGTCTATATGTAAGCAACTGTGAAAGTACGCACGGTGTACTTTGCAGCTGATATTAGGCAAACACAAAAGACATCAGTGGGTGTGCAGTAGGTTTGTACTTGTTTGACAAAGGGGATGTGGTGTACAAAGATACATTATGTCAACACACCTCTGACCCACAAGCCAGAAATATGAAAACAATAACTGTGCAGAGTCACACGCGCACACTACAGCACAAAGTCAGCAGAGAGAAGTGATGCATTGTTCAGGTTCAACAGAGAAGCAGGAATGTGACAAACAAAGGTGAGACAGGGTGAGTCCGCTCTGAAATGTTACAGCAAGCCTGGATTTCACCAGAAAAGTGAAATCTATTCACGACAAAGCCATGACCTCCCAGAAGTTTCTCACTTTTGAAGGTATCTCCTTTTCACACACATGTCAAAATCCAGGTCATTTCAACAGTTCAGGTTTCACGCAGTGGTGAGAGAAGTACTCAGATTTGTTACTTAAGATAAAGTAGCATTACGTAACTGTAAACATACTCGGTTACAAGCAAATGTCCTGCATTCAAAACCTTAATATCGGCATCACTTTAAGTACCAAGAGTAATAGTATTTGTTATGTGTAATAGCTAATTTCCGATGAATACAGCTGCTTTAAATTGCTTTACATAATGCTACAGGATTTATTTTTAGCCTATAAATACATGTCAACGTTTATTTGATAGGGAATTCATACTTTGTATTAGTTAATAATCTAAATCTAAAAAGTAACTCAAGCTGTCCAATAATTGCAGTGGAGTAAAAAGCACAATATTGGTTTCCAAATTGTAGAGTAGAAGTATAAAGTAGGCTATAGCATAAACAGAGAATACTCAATTGAAGCACAAGTACCTAAAATGTGTCCATAAGTGAGTAAATGTACTTTGTTACTATCCACTTCACGTTTGCATACGTTCATGTAACATCAGGGTCTGAGGGGAGGCCGTGCTCAGACATGTTATGGAGGCAGCTGTTTGAGCCACACAGCTGGAAAATCAAGTTGAGGGATGACACACAGTTATGTTCATTCTCACAATTCTCAGGCTTACACTTGGCTTCTGAGAGCTGGTGTCACACAGATATTAGATACAGATCAGTGGTGGTGTTAGGCACTTCCTCCTTTACTGTAGATAAAGGAAGAGAGTCTTGTGAGAGCCCTGTTTTCCATGGTAACAATGAGCGACACTTACTGAACAGGGTTTCCGTGGAAACAATCGGTGACACCTCCTGGAAAGCGTTTCCACAGCAACAATCTGTGGCACAGGTGCTGAGTGGAGGAACATCGTCCAGTGTTTTTCATTTACAAAGCCAAGCTAAACTGATGAGTTAATGCGAGTCCTGCCACATTAAGAAGCTAGATGTGTGCCTTAAGCTGACATCTTATTTTACTGGATGTTTACTCTGTTTTTACCGTGTTTGCTGATGTTTTCCTCCATGTCAAACAGTTGATTTTTTTCTGAATTAAAAAGGAGCCCAAATTCCTATTTAACTAATAGCCTAATAGGCCCTCTTTATCATTAGTGATGTCAGTTAGATTTGGTTAGGTCAAAGCTATGGAATATATTTTTAACCTCAGTTGTTGTGCTTCCCTACTTGTTTCTATTTGCTTGTTTTTGTTGTGTTATTGACACATTACGTGGTCCTTTTGATGACATCGTAGAGGCTTTTCACACCTATATCCGAGTGTCTGACGATTAGATCTAGCTATAGTCAAAGCGACCCCTGGAGTTAAATTAATGTAAAATAATAAGAGACCACAGGACAAGAAAAAAAAAAGAATTCAAACAGTCGTAACAGTATCAGGAAATTTTATTTAATTATATGTATATAATTCAGTTTTTGTTAATCGTTTAATTCATAATACCCATAGAATATACAGACTATAACCCTCGATAACTCATATCTCTTCGACAATCTACGTATATCTTCTTTTAAAATAATTCCTTATAAGATCTTGGAGGGGAAATCAAAGAAAACAAAGGTTTCAGAAAGATTGAAAACACTGCCAATAACAATCACGCCCATAAGAGAATTAAAGAAGAAAAAAAAAAAAAAATACAAATAAAAACATCCTAATTATTAAAAAAAACAAAACAACTTTAACTCCCTTTTATGTATAAAAAGAAAAGAAAGAAAATACAACAACTCACCAATATAACAACAATAGCAATAATAAGAACAGCCATTTAAAAACAACAATATCTGGAAACAGGCCTCGTGACGGACAGGCCTTCGGACTCGCCGATGCTGCGTGAATGTATATGGTGCGTTTAAGTGCAACTTTTCACAAACACACAGATGCACTCCTCAGAAAGAGAGAGGAAGTGTGTGTGAGTGTGTGTCCGGAGGATTGGAAAAACGTGGTCCTCTTTGTTTTCCTTCCCATGGTTGCCCAGTGAGATGTTTGGTCTGGTGGCAGGTCGGTTGGAGATTTAAAAAAAAGAAAAGAAAAAAGAAGCAAAGCAGGGCCTGGTTGACTGGCGACCAAATATACATATGACACACATAGAAAATCTCAGATGTAAAAAGCGCAGGTAACTGCATGGAGAGGCTCCAAAACACACACACACACACAGGATAGAAAGAGTCTTGGCTTTATGTTACTCATGAGCAGATACACGAACACCTGTACACAGACATAAATTACTGCAGACGGTCCATGAGCTTTAACACGCACAAACACACACACACACACACACACACACAGCAGGCGAAACTTAAAGCTGAACAAGGAGAGACAAAAAACATCCGGAGAGGACAAAGCGAGCGTGGCTGGAAAGACAAAGTGCAGGCGTGCTGATTGAGTTATGCGAGTTTCCTGCATGTATGATCCAGGGGCGATGACTTGGTGGCAGCAAAGTCAGTGATAAACCACCAAGTCCCACTGTGGAGAAGCAGACAGACAAGGGAGGAGGAGGGTGGGGGGGGCAGCCCTTTGAGTAAAGCGTGGCGAGAGTCAGAAGGTTGAACAAAAAAAAAAAAGGATAAAAATCACCACATGCACCAGGAAGCCTCACATCGATCCCAAAGTGCTGGCTATGGCTTCTGAGAAAAAACAGCCCAAAAAAGGAAAAAATCAATGATTTTTGCTGCAAAGGGCGAGGCCGGTGAGCATCACAGACCTGCCCCGAGAAATACAGAATATAAGAGGATCCGGTGCATGTGTTGGTCCATTTTTTTTAGGGGAGGAAAGGAGGAAGGGGGGGGGGGGGGGCTTCTCTACTGGTCCCAGTGCAACAGGCAGAAAATTAGTGCAGACCGAGCTGGTGACGGCTCCACCAAGCAGCCATTAAGTACAGTCACATCCAGAACAAAGAGAGGAGGGAGCAGCCGCTGACAGGAACCATAAACACAGACAGAATACACAAGCAAAGAAGCCATCTGAGAAACGACGCAGCGTTACATCACCCACATTGAAGAAGAACAGGAAGCAGGAAAACACACACACACACACGCGAAAAGGGGAGCGAGCGAACAAAATGGGCAGAGGTTTTTTTTTTAATACCGTACAACCACGAAGGGATGATGGCTGTAGACGCTCTGACAATCCTGGGTTTGATTGTTGTTAATGATGTCAGGTCGTATTGGAACCGTGGGAAACATGGGAATCTTTACCATACATCCTTAATGGCTTCAACGCGGCATTTGTCAGCAACATGTACAGTTTTTTTTACGAGTCTCGTTCTTGTAAAAGTTCTCATCCGATGAGCACTAACTGCAGCGACAGACTCCATAAACTCAGGCCATTTACATTCAACTCACATCAATGAGCCATAATCTGAAAATGCTCGTTGGAAAGTGCACTTCTCTCGACCGTTTACATGGATTTGTTTATACTCGGGCCTTCGCTGTCAGTTAGACTGTGACGGGATGGACTCCATACAGCCGGTAGCAGATCAAAGACAACACAGTGGGATGGAAAGGCTGATGTCTGTCAACCAGGCCCCATTTTCCAGAATACTGTACAGGAGATCAGACGGCTTCACTGATGTTATAATAAGTAGTTAACCACTCATTTGCTATTCATTTTTAACTAAAATGAAATGCAATATGTAATACTGATCAGATATTTGATGGTTATTGTATTTAATAAAGGGAAAATGTACTATAACAGTGTCTGACATCAGTGTTCTGGCAGTATTTCTGCCATTTTGGAAGGAACGTCTTCCACTATAAAACTTACAGTCAGGTAGTTCATGATCATTAGGGGGAGAAACGTTTTTGGAAAGAGTACCATGACTTTCTGGAAAATGGGGCGTAGGTACTACTGTTATCTGAATGAATAAGCGATTATATTTTATACTGTTTGATTTCTATTTGTTCCAATCATGTGGCGTCTCCTGAATAGAACCATCTGAAGGGGGAGTTGAGTAATGTGTCAAAAAATGTGTTGATTCAAAACTACGATAGGTAATCCTTAGTTGCTCCCCGGCCAAGTTTCCTGCATATCTCTGCCACTTTGGTTAATTTAAGGAATGCATGCATTCATATGAACATCATACAGTTGTTTTTTTTTTAAGAAAAGAAAAGCGACGACAAATAAATCTATATAAACCTGCCAACATGCCAGAAATAACATTGAATGTTTGTCTCAAAAATCAAGTGTTAAAAAAAATAATTAGACTTGCAAATATAAACCCCAAAACATACAGATACGACTGATCCGAAAACACTCAAAAACAACGATGTACACACAAAAACTGCCACAAGCACACTTAAAAAAGAAAAGAAAATAAGCTTTTTATATTTTTGTATATATACACAAACACCCGATTAGCATCCCCGTTCCTTTAGCCCTCGATTTTTTCCAGCTTGTAATTTACATGGAGCAAGACAAGAGAGTTATGGAGTCGGTTAATACAGTAGTTTATATGAGAGGGAGCGACAGATCAGCATCAGGGAGCAAGAGAGAGAGAGAGAGAGAGGGGGGGGGGGGGGGGGGTACTGATGATGGGAGGGGATGAGGACGTTTAACGGGAAAATAAATGTGAGGTGAGAGGAGGAAGAGTCCAACATGGACAAAACTGAAACAGTATGAGTACACAGACCCTACCACCCCCAACCACAGAAATCAAAAGTGAAACTTAGCTCTCTTGCAGTAGAAATGGAAAGATAAGCAGTTAAATGTTCATTTCTCGTTTTCTCTTTTTTTTTTGTTGGTTTCTTGAAGATGCATTTTTTCTTTTTGTTTTAGCATGTCGTTTGGAGTCTTCTTGTTCCAAGCCTCTGCGTGGCTTTGTCACTCTTTAGGGCTACGGAAAAGAGAAAGAAAGAAGTGCACTTAGGCCCGATCACCGTTTCTAAACCTGCAGAAAACTACAGACATGTGTTTCTGTGTCTGTCCAAGTGTCATGAATGCTAGTTAGTGTCCTAAATTCACCTTTGCTTTAAAGGTCCCCTATTATACTCTTGTTCAACAGTATACTATAGGGCTCAGATATATACAAGACATGTCTCTGAAGTGTTTGGCTGAAACACCAAACAGATCATTGCAGCATGCCATAAACCCCTTTGTTTTCAGCTGTGTTTCAAAAGTGCTGATTCTGTGTCTGTAGCTTTAATCAAATCAAATTACATTTCTTTACATACATTTAACTTAAAATAACTGAGAGACCAGAGTTCCCGTTAGCCGGTAATTACCGGACTATGACCGGTAAAATATGCTGAAGACCGGCAAATCTAAATCTCTCCGGTCAAAATGTCCGGTCATAATATTTTCCCTTAGCAAAATACCGCATCAGTTGCGCCACTTATGTGACAGACAAGAATAGTATGTGACAGACAAGAATAGTCAATTCTAATGTCTAACACTTAATGTGGAGAAAGAGATGGCCTGTATGGGTTGATTGTGCGTTGATCTGTTGGTAATGCCTCGGGGTTCCGGTGGGCATGTAAACAAATGCATAATGCTGCGCTATACTTTGTGGCCTCACCCGGTTGCATAGCGACGCTTATTGTTTAGGTGTCTTTTAATAAGCAGGTAGTCATCATTAGCTAGAACTAGCTAGATCTCATCGATATGGACATAAACGCGAGTAAAGTCTAACACACACACTTCAGGTTAGAATATCACGTAGCTATTTTAATTACCTCTCAAACTTCCTAAACTAGTTATAGATATGTTTAGTTTTACTGTCGGGTCACTCATTACTGGATCCGCGAGCTGCATGAGACTGACGGGCTGTCAGGAGAGGGAGCGCTCCGTTTATTATTCCCGTGTTATTATAAGTTACTGTACCCGTTTGAATAATGTAGTTAATCTACTATAATTAGTTTGTTTAATATCGAATCATATCAATTTGTTTTAAAGCTCAATAAATAACAAAGAAGACCTTTGTCCGGCACTTTTCTAATTTTGTTCGGAAGATTTAAACTTTAACGGACATTTTGACCGGCAAAAAAATATTCTAATGGGAACTCTGTGAGAGACATGTTGAGAACAGTGGAGGTTTGGGTGTGTGTGAAGGAATTGATGAATGGCATTTGCTCCACTGACACCTAGTGGTCCCAAATCACAATAACATTTTGTCACAACTTTAAAGAAAACGGAATCAGACATGGAAAATCAAGAAAATGGCCAAACGGACATAATTTAGCCTCTGGATATTCAAATAAACCGGAAAATATATTTCAAGTTTTCACTTTGCGACCTGTTGCAGAAAGTTGTGTTGCTGTGACGGTGTGTGTGTGTGTTTTGTTGTGAGGTCAGCGGGCGTTTTCACGTACCTGTGTGTCTCATGTTCCCTGGTAGGTTGCCTGGAATTGAGCGGTTTCCTCGTAGATCAGTTCCTTCAGCTTCTCCTTGGGCAGATCATCCAGCTCCATGGAGAAGGTGAAGGGCTCCTCCGCCACCGGCTACACACACACACACACACACACACACACACACACACACACACACACACACATTGTTAAAACCTTCACCTCAAGAGGGAGAGCCATTTCTTCACAATCAAGAGTTCAAAATAAAGTCTTGGTGGGTCAATTTAGGAATTGAGCAACATGCTGCACACTGTTTTTAGTCTTTGTGCCTTACAAAGAACCATTTCTATTTAAAATCTTCAATCATCTTGGCTGTGTTTATACAGCATTGATTTTGGAAAGGGTGTGATTTTTTTTTTTCCTTTGAGGTTTAACTTCAGTTCCTACAAAAAGAATAAACAGTATAGAGAATACAGACTTTCAGAAATGTCTAAAATGTTTCTATTTAAACCCTTTTTCTTTTTTTTATTCCACCGCCATATCAGCATAAAATCATGCATTTTATTATATCAGGCGTTCAATTCAGAGTCCTAGCTTCAACATTTATTTTTACTTTATTCCACCATACTGGAGCATTTTCTCATGTTTGCACTTTGTGGCTAATAGCTGCTATTTTCCAGGTTTATTGCTCTATTATGTGTAAATTAATATATCATTTTATGGCCACTTCTATATACACATTCTGTCTGCTAAGGACATCAGAGCAACTCCTAAAAGTGAAGTCAGGCTTTATGACTAAGGCTGCAAGTGGGGAAAGTAGAGAGGCTTTAGGCAGCCCACACTGCGGCGTAAAATAAAAACATGAAACACTTTAGTAAGTCCAATTCAATGGAAGCTGTCACTGAAAAACAGCCAAGCTGGAAAAACCAGTGAAGATCTGATTTCTACAGTAGGGTTCTAGGAACCAGCCGTGCTGACGTACACGGGGATGCGATTACATTCTTTAACCTCTCTGCGGCTGAACCATGGAGCGAACTGGATACTAATTGCATTCCCAACACAGCTAAGAGGCTTCCCAGCACAAAGCACAAAAAGGCTCACAAAACAAATCTTGGCTGATTGTCGAAAACAATGACCAACAGGTTTGAATGAATGAGCCCGTCTGCCTCCAAGATCTGTGCCAAACCTCCTTTCTCTGTATTGATCGAATAAAATGCCTTGTCCTTACAACTTGTCTTTCAGATTCTACTGGCATGATGTGTTAAGTGATTCTGCTGCGTACCTCATCTGTGGGGTCGTAGTACTGCTCCAAGTAGGGATGAGCCAGAGCCTCCTCCACGCTGATGCGCTTCACGGGGTTAAAGGTCAGCATGCGGCCCAGCAGGTCCAGAGCTGCGTTAACATTCATCAAGAGCTTCAGTTAGTAAATTAGGTTTCTTTATTATCCTACAGTGCTATTCATTTCATTACTGGACTGACACTTAAACAACTTAAAGATATGAAAGAGAAAAAACATTACAAATATTTTCCATTCACTGTAAAGCTGGATATTTCATAGAAAACACACATTTTAATATAGAAGTTAAGTAAAAGGTACATGCATTATAATTTGTGCTGTCTCAGAGGCAAATACCCATAATAGGTGGTATTAACTTTAATATATAATAATGTTAGAAGGATTTCGCACTGCACTATATATAAATTAGGGCTGCTCGATTATGGCAAAAATCATAATCTTGATTATTTGGGTCAATAATTGATATCACGATTATTAAAAACAATTATCCATTTACTTTGAAAACATCCATTTATTGAAAAAGAAATGTGAACAGTATGTTTTTAACAGTTGATTACCCTGAACTCTAAGTATAATTCAACTGAAAAACCAATAAAAAATAAATATAATAAAAAAATAATCGTTTTATTTCGATTACGTTGTTTTCGTAATCGTTGCAAGCCAAAATCGTAATTGCGATAAAAATACGATTAATTGAGCAGCCCTAATATAAATTACCCCTTTCCTCATCCTTTTCTTGGAAGGTGTACATTTTACAATCACATGAAGAGGCATGTAATAGATCAAATAACAGACACCACTCACATTAAAAGCCTGTTCTATATATTATTCGATATATGGGCTGTAGAATGGGACTTTTCTTTTGTGCCACATAAAAGGAGACAAAAACACCTTGTACAGAAAGCCTATTGAATGCCCACTAATAGAAAAAACCCTATTTGCTCCATTTGCCCCACTGATCCCTCCAAACAGTTAGTCTCTAGGGTTTTATTTGATTTGATTAAATGAGTCTTTTTTTTTTCTTGCCCTACATTCTGGGTTAACAAATGGTGGTGCGTTACCTTTGGAGTCGGCCTTGTAGAGAGTCTCCCAGGGGATTCTGGGTTTTGGAGGCAGGGACTGCAGGTAGTTCCTGGCCTTCATGTTGATGATGCAGTTCAGATCATCTTGAGTGGGGGATCCAAGGACGCCTGCAGAGTGAGGGGGACGTATTTTAATATGGCAACACAACCCCATTTATGTTTTTACAGTTGAAGCTTCTACTGAGGTTTCCAAATGAAGCTTTGAATATATATTTTATTACATCATCACCATATTTCTTTTATATTCCTTAAACAAAATCCTCAATTTGAATGAAGGGATTCATCTGAACAAATTAGTGAGTTTTTTTCAAAACTAATTTTTTAATGAATATAACTCGTAAGTGCAATGCTTCTTTTTTTTTGTTAATGCGGCAAGCAAGATAGCAAGCCATTTTTTTAACGCAGTAAAAATGTTGGTTTCTGAAGGCTGAACCCCAACGAATATGCAAAAATATATTTGTGATTTTATGGCAATGTTTGGATCATACGAGTCGGAAACCAACACGCAGCCATAACTAAATATAATTCTACAAATAATATAATGTTATTAGTAAATTAGTGCGAGGAATAAAAAGTATAATACCAATAATATTAGATTAGATCTTTGCAAAAATACTGGCTTAAAACAGAATAAATACTTGCGTCGTTTTAGGATTTCGATGTCAACATTATGATAGAAGCATGAAACTATTTGGTACAGCGAGTCTTTTGTAGCAATGACAAACACTCACCCAGTATATGGTTGAGCTGGTCCAGGTAGTGTTTCCCGGGGAAGATGGGCCTGTTGGACAACATCTCAGCCAGGATGCAGCCCACCGACCAGATGTCAATGGACTTGGAGTAGCCCTGAGACACAAACACACAAACAGTGAGAACAACTCACCAAACGAGCAACCCAGTCCAACACAGATTCAGTAACTCTCACACGAACCTACCTTTGAGTTGAGCATGATTTCTGGAGCCCTGTACCAACGCGTGGCCACGTACTCGGTCAGGAAACCTGTGTGGTCGTGCTCCGGGTCGGCTATCCTCGCCAAGCCAAAGTCACAGATCTGAGGAGATCAAGAAGGGTCAGAGGTCAACAACTTCATTTACCCAAGATGTGACCAACATTCAAGACTTGCAGAAACATGAAAAAGGCTGTACATGTTTTTATTTCTAATAAATTGGCCCCAAATAAATTGCAGGAAATGTGAGGGCAGGCACCATAACAGTACAGAAATGCTGTACACAATGGAGTAATATACATTTTGTAATTCTCCTATATATTTACCTTTCTATAGCTGTATTAATAAAAAAGTATTTTTTGTTTTTATTAGGTTTTTTTGGGAGAGGACTGTATGCATGTGCTGCTTCTATTCTGCACTTCGTCTACATGATCAACTGATCCAGGGATTTGTGGTTAGTTGCCGATAGTTACACGCGTACCCTGCAGCTATACAACGCCCTCACATATCAGTGTGCTGATAGCATCTTGTTTTAGGCTTCAAAAACACAACCACTGCAGAAACAACATTAGGAAACACTTAATATGACGTTTTTGGAGGATGTTATCAGTCCTTAGGGCTTTTAGTAACTTGTATGTACGATACATTTTGATTAGCATTTGACTTAATTTCCCAGAATGCACTTTAGTGTACTTTGAAGTTGTGCAATAGCAGGTTGCCAGCGCCATGTCTCTTACTCATGAAACAGGCTGCAGCTGTATCAAGTAAAATGAAATGCATTATCTGGACAATAAATGGCATGAATTTAGGAGGCTGTGGCTCAGTGGGTAGTGTGCTGGACTTCGAATCATGGGGTAGCAAGTTCGAGTCCCACTGCAGTCAGCATGTCGTTGTGTCCCTGGGCAAGACACTTCACCCCAAATTGTTCCTGTGGGGATTGTCCACAGTACTGAATGTATGTAAGTCGCTTTGGATAAAAGCGTCTAACAAATGACATGTAATTAATTTAGATTGTTTTAGATACTCATTAATACCCTTCAGAAGTATTTTACATGTGGCTACTTAACTGCAAAGATAAGAAACACAAACACTTAAGCTCAAAGGGGAATCAGAAGAGTATACTGTATGCCCTCAGGGGAATATTTTTACAGCGTGGCAATCCAAGTGCAGTCATTTAATATTTAGTAGGTGAAGGGCCATGGCAAGCAAGGAAGGGCTCGGGTCAATCCAGCACCCATATCCAACATTCCTGAGATTCCCTTTCAATCTTGTTGAGCCCTGCAACTTGCGACTGGTACCAATGTTTACATAAACACAATGAATCTTGTGTAAATCATTTCAGCTGACTGAAAACAAGACAAATGCACCGTCTGAGTGTGAAAATATCCTCTTTAGAGCTTTTGTCTCAAAATATGAAGTATAATGTAGCAGTTACCACATGCTAACTTTAGAAGGGGGATTTTTAACACCTATACTAAATATACAACATGCAAATGGTGAATTTCCACTTAAATACATATAATGTGTAGCGCTGCACCATATGAGGACTACGGTTCTACTGAAATAATGCTAGTTCCTAGTTGATTTAAACATTTTGTTAACAGAGTGGTCATTGGAGTTATGATAAAATGCAACAATAAAAACTGATTTAAACAATCCATGAGTGCAATTTCGCAGTCTTTAGTTGTGTGTTTATCACCTGGGAACTCTTTTTTATAGTCATTCTGAAGAGGCCATTGGAGGAAGTGCAGTTCTTATCTCTATATCTGAGTTTTATCACTTGTGTACATAAACAAAAAAAAGATATTTGTGCGTGTGCGTACCTTGAGGTCGCAGGTGGTGTTGATGAGCAGGTTGGAGGGCTTGAGGTCACGGTGCAGCACGTTAGCAGAGTGGATGTACTTGAGGCCTCGCAGGATCTGGTAGAGGAAATAGCAGACGTGGTCGTTGCTCAGCCTCTGAGTCTTCAGCAGCTTGTACAGGTCCGTCTCCATCAGAGTCTGAACGATGTAGCTGGGAGGCGCCGTCAAGGAGCACATCAACTACCCACAGAGTTAAAGGACACCGCGAGAGACATAAAGACTGCTCTGAGAGGGATTTAAGGGCCCTTAATTATTTAGCAACATGTATAAAATCAAACCAAGATTTGCTGACACATACTTATATTTCCCTGTTAAAACAAACAGTAGGTTGGACTTTCAGCTTATGTCATGTTTTCTAGACTTATATATATATATCTGGTAGGGACACTTACATGTAGTCAGGTTGGCCTAATAGGGGCAATTTTTGTGGTGCAATTTCTTTATTTTCTTATCCAGATATTTACTCTGGCATCATTATCAATCCAAATATATCTATTCCTTGGTTTATGACCAAATCCTAAGAAAACAGACATCAGTAAGCAGCCTTTTTATATTTTTAACCGTAGAACATGTTTGCTTTTGTCGTCTTTTGCATCAACTGTGGTTCCAACAATTCTCAACGTACACACTGCAATTTAAATATTATTATCACTAACACCAATCCCCTTTAAACAATTGTATTATCATTTTATATTGAAAAATGTAGCTTGTCCAGCCACAGTTTGGTCTTTCTCCAGTTAAATGTTCCACTAAACTTCCATTTTGGAGCTCTACCCTAAACTGGAACAATGGCAGTCAGATAAATAACTTTTTGGTGATGTAGCAGTCGAATTCTTATTTCTAATTCTCCTGCGCACTTAAAATAAACAAAGCAAAGCTGTTGCAATATAATTACTCTTCAAATGGTCACTGTACACTCGTTTTACAGGTTCTTGAATGCATCATGATTCATGACTAGATATTACATTTAATAAAAAGTTATAGGTACACTTCTGCATGAAGGACTAAAACTGATAATACAAATTGGTTGAGTTGGGTATATTTACATTATCAAAAATATTTCCAACAATTTTCCGACTTAAAGTAGTCAATTTTAATGAATCAACCGATCCGTCGCATGCCGATGTAGACCCTTTAAGCATGTGTCAGCCTTGTCGTTTGACATTGACTTTTTGTCAAATTTTGATATACTTCTAAACTATATAGCTAAAAAAGATGAAGCATTTAAGTCATTTATTTCTGAATCTTAAGTAATCAGAGAACGAGGAAAAAAGCTGATCTGAGCTTAGCAGTGTTCCTGTGTTCACCGAGAAAACACTGATTCACAATTGTAAAAATGGTTAATTCATTGATTCAAAGGGTTTTAAATCACCGGCTCTGTTTGTTTTGGCGAGGAGGCAACCAATATAGAACATTCAGTTCTCGGTAAAAACACTAATAATCCTAACCTGGAGAAGCTGGCTGCAATAGTGGTGAAGGAGACAACTCCCATGATCCCACGCTAGTTCACGATGCCACAATACTCTGTCTTTTGTTATTTCACTTAATTGAGGGACCCCTTGTGTCAGAAAAAGACAAAATTGTGCATTCAAACTGTCAAAGGCTAATGATGGAACACAATTGTATTTGTTTATTTTAAACTAGTTCAATCCTATATAGAAGTTTGATTTGATTTAAGCTTGGATAATAAGTGACAAATGCATGAGAAGAGCCTTTTTCCTGGAAAGCATGAAAGGATACACATCCCTCATGTTGTCGAGTACCCGTGCCCTGAGAATGTCGTTGATGCCGATGATATTCTCATGGTGGAAACGCAGCAGGATCTTGATTTCCCTCAGTGTGCGCTGGCAGTACGTCTGGTGCTCAAACGGGCTGATTTTCTTGATGGCTACGCGCGAGCTTGTCACGCTGTCCATAGCAGAGCTGGATAGGGTGGATGTGGAAAGAGGCACACAACAAGTCTCATGTTACACACTGTACACTCCACAATGACGTTATCAGAAACTGGGCTAATGCCGAGCTCCAAAAGGGCGTTGCAGACGGTCTCCATTGCCAAGATGACACGTCTTTTTGATGTGAAATGAAGTGCTGTAGGTGTATTTCTGAGTGTAGGTGCAGTGTCAGTGTGGTGTAGGTGTAGAGTAGATGGAGGCTGAGAACAGCTGTGAGTGATGCATTTCTGGGACTCTTGAATTCACTTTGTGGGGGAAAAAAACCTCCAAGCTAGGTTTTAAACACTCAGCCTCAACAGGAACAACAGTTACATCACATCTTCTCTATTGGTTAAAGTGTCTTTTCTTATTGCACAACACAAACTGCATAAACTGAGCAAGTTCACACACAGTACTAAAGGCTAAAATAATGTTATAAAAATCAAGAGGGAATTTATATACACATGGTTAGATCACATGTGTAACAAAATATATGAACATGTTGTTTATGATAAGCTATAGTTCATTTTTGTTCACTGTACCGACTAGTGGGTGATGATGATGACAATGTTTACAAATACTGCATCAGTGGAACCACATGCCCAGGATGACAGTAAGAAAATAACACTGGTGAAAATGACAGTGATCTACAAGGGGTGTGTTGTTGGCCTGGCTCTCACTCGACCATCCTCTCTCCACTGACACGCATTGCCGTCACATCTGATCCAGTTCACAGATCAGCCTCGACTGCGATGACTTGGCACCGATGTCAAGTGCAACAAGGGTTGCTTAACATGTCCACACAAGGCTGTAGATCACTTACAACGATAAACACGAGGCCTCGCTACAATTGACAAATCCCACTCGCATCCTCTGCAGCAGATTTACTGCAAGCTTCAGGTTTCAGATTAATGTGGCTGTGCTGGACGGATGAGATGACAATAGCGATAACTATGTCAAACGTGCGGGCAAATACAGTCTGCAAAACATTTCTCAGCGCAAACCAAACTACGTCCTGCGCAATCACTCCCAATCTTGTTTCCTGTAAAGCTCATAGCCACGCCTGTAGCTAGTCAGCTAACCTGCTAACCACAACATCAGATTCAACAATGTCTGAATGTCGGGCAGCAGCTTCGCACACAAACATCGACGCTGCACAGTGACTGGGTGCCGCTTGTTGAATGCAGACGCTGGGGTTAGCTGGCTAACAGTATGTGCTAACAAACAGCTTAGGTTAGCTAGCACTTTTTTTATTAAGACTGTACGGTGGCCCAACGGAAAAGACAACTCACCAGACCATCCCGTAAGCCCCCTCCCCAATGTAAGACAGGTTCGTGTAGCGGGGGCCCACATCGAATAGCTGGCCCTTCACGGACTCGGACGGGGCCTTGATTCCCACAATTGGAGCCGCTCCTCCGTCCTGCGCCACCGAGCCAGCCGCCCCGGCAGCGCTGTTGGAGCCTGCGGCCGCTGGGGCCGCTGCGGTGCTGCCTGAATCCGCCATTCTTCCTCTCCAAACCTATCCGGCTCTGTCACTGTGCTTCACCGAGGCTCTGCTGCTGCTCTGCGCGGTGTTAACGTTTGTCCGGGGCCTTTAAACGGGAGGATTGTTTGATTGACGGAGCAAAGCGACTCGATCAGGGCCCTCTCTACTACCGGAGTGTAAATGGATTTCGTGCGCGAGCGCGGATTTGGTCTTAGCACCGAGCGTAAAATGCTCGTGCCAAACTACGGTAATACAGGTGCGTTAGATATGGTTGCGAGGTTGACTTGTGTGGGCGGAGTCGCTTCTATTAGCTTGAGGCTCCGCCCGTGTAGCTCCTTTGTGACAGTGAAACAAGCGCAGTCTGCAAAATAAACATGCAGCAGCAGCCACGAGTGGGCGTGCCGAAATATGTTGCATGCTGCCTGTTGTGACAAGAATAAAACACTTTATGATCAAATGTTTATTGTATCGGTTCTTTTGTGTCAATCCACCTTCATAGACCATCCATTAAGAGTATCTTACAGTCTTTTTTGTTTGCATTTTCAAGGAATTCCCTGCATATCACAGGATACGATTGTTATAGTTGCCTGTACATGAACATATATTTATTTTATAGCATTTCGTTCAAGACATATTCATTATAATATATAAGAAAACATGGTGTTATCATTGTAGATATATTCTTAATGGCTAGGTTTGTATATTATCTTTTACAAATGATTGAGATTCTCCAATCATAAAGAAAATATGTAAATGTTTTGCATATTGTTATCTTAGTGCTTAGATTTGTCGAAAATTGGTGACCATTTCGATATTATTATCTTTCAACCTAATACACAAATACTAAACCCATTCACAAAGACATGCATTCGTTTTTTTATTAATTATTTACAGATCAGATGCACATACATTTCAATCATCTATTTTATTTTTTACCCTTGTTTATTTGTTAGATAATAAATACTTGACACTTATCACCATGGAAACGAGTGCGACTGCCGTAGCCGCTCCTCTTTGCTGACGTCACCGCGTCGGGTGGTGCACTTCCTGGTTGGTTACTTGGTGCTTCATGCATGTTGTACTCTAGTTGATTTGAGAATATCGATTTATTTTCTTCGAGGAATGATACATTCCCTCCTGCGACGTGACTGGATCGGTCAAATTCGTCTAGCACTCACTCTGTTCGGACTCCCGTACACCGTCTGCACCCCCGGAGCTAGGTATGTACAGTAACGTTAGTTGTAAAGACTCAACTAGAAGCTGTGAGAATTTGACATTACAGGACAGTTTTAGAATTTTAGAGAGCACTGTAATCAAGAGTATGCTGCAGTACCTATTTCTGTCCTTGCTCAATCCCAGGTCACATGATCGAAGTATGAACTGTGCTTTATATAAACGTTGCTAACAAACAAGATGTATTTCCATTAAAAAAAAATAAGGAACAAAATGTACAGCTAAACCATCAATACTTAGGAAAAATGTGTTATTCAAACTATAAAAGTAGCTCTCATCCTAAAAATGATTATAATTTCAATTTAACTTTTACCTGGCTGAAAAGAAGATCTATATCACCCTGTTGCCATGATAGGATTTAGCACTTAAATTAAGGGTTTCCATTGTTTGCCAGGAGCACAATAAGTGCATGTGTGTACTGGTATCAAGCTGCTTCAGGGAAGTCAGAGTGAGGTTATTGCTAAAAGGATTTCTATGTATCATGTTTCATCCCCTGCAGGCCTGCCATCTCTTGCTCGTATTCTCACAATTTCAGGACCAGTCAGACATTGGGACCAATAAGTACCAGTTTCTGTAACCTTTACACGACTGGTGTCCAGACAATGCCGTCTTCATCAGCGCCCCACGCCAAGTCCAGATGCCCCCAGTATCCAGGGTCCAAAATCAACCGCTTCCTCGTGCCTGATGACAAGGTGGGCTGGAGTCAGAACTGGCCGCAGTATAAACCCCTCAGCTACACCGACCCTTTAGTGGAAAAGAAGCCAGTATGGGCCGATCCTGAGATTGGGTGAGCAACACATTTCAATTAATGTTACATAAATTGGCTGTTGTGAGGCATTCTGACTGTAAACATGCTGTTTGTTTTCGAAGATCAGCTGGAGTTATTCATGCCTGTTTTTATGACATTTCCTTGTTTCTGCAGCTCTTTCTCTCCTAAGTTCAACACTCTGGACGGTGCTGTGGACAGGACAAGCTTCGAGGGCAGCTACAAAATGGAAAAGCAAAAGCCACTGTAAGTTATACCAAGAGAAATAGTTTTGTTGGATTGGTTTTGCTCGAAAACAGGTACTTCAAAGTCAAAAGTCAAAGTCAAAGTCACATCAGCATATGGTGCTTTCCAGGCCTTGAAGGGTAGAGAATAGAATCTAAAAGAAAGTCACAGTAAAATAATTAGTTGTGAATCAGAATCAGAATACCTTTTATTAGTCCCACGGAGGGGACATTTACATTGTTACAGCAGAAAAGAGCCAAAGACAGCTTAATGTTACCTAATCGCTGCTACAACCCGCTGCTGCAGATACACTTTTTACAACATCAGGAGGATACGTCCCCTCCTAACCCAGAAAGCGACGCAGCTTCTGGTCCAGGCTCTCGTCATCTCACGCCTAGACTACTGCAACTCCCTCCTGGCTGGTCTACCTGCATGTGCCATCCGACCTCTGCAGCTCATCCAGAATGCAGCGGCTCGTCTGGTCTTCAACCTTCCAACATTTTCCCACACCACACCGCTCCTCCGCTCCCTTCACTGGCTTCCAGTAACTGCTAGAATCCACTTCAAGACAATGGTACTTGCGTACCATGCTGTGAATGGATATGGCCCTTCCTACATCCAGGACATGGTTAAACCATACACCCCAGCACGTGCACTTCACTCTGCATCAGCCAAACGGCTTGCTGCACCCGCACTGCGAGGGGGACCCAAGTTCCCATCAGCAAAAACACGTCGGTTTGCTATCCTGGCTCCAAAATGGTGGAATGAGCTCCCCATTGACATCAGGACAGCAGAAAGCCTACACATCTTCCAGCGCAGACTGAAAACTCATCTTTTTCGACTCCACTTCGAGCGATAGAATTACTAACAAAGCACTTGTATACTAATAAAGGACTGGCTTATCTAAAGCCAGTTGAGTAGCACTTGAAATGTTTTGGCTCTATGAAACCTGAAGTACTTATATGATTCTGTTTTCTTCAAGTTTGTATCTTCTTGGTCGAATGCACTTATTGTAAGTCGCTTTGGATAAAAGCGTCAGCTAAATGTAATGTAATGTAATGGATAGCTGCACAGAGCCCTTTCACATTTTATTAGCCATTTCATTAATTGTTAATGTCAAGACATCGATTAAGCTTTTATAGTAATGGACAGATGTATGGATGAGCTCGTTTTCTAAAAGTAATGTTTTTAACGGCCTACAACAATTCTGTGTGCTCTCGTTACTAAAGAGGTTTTTGTGTTTGTAAAATATTTTTGTATTTGCTTATAAATTAATGATCTAATTTTATTCTTGTAGAAATCCCCGTGGACGCACAGGGGTGACAGGCAGAGGATTGCTGGGACGATGGGGACCCAATCATGCTGCAGATCCCATTGTCACAAGGTAACTTTGTCTTTACTTTGCATATTGATATTACCCTGATACTTATAACACAGCTCAGTACTCAATTTAGTAACATAAATAATTATTCAAATTGTGAAAATTCATTAAATACCTCAATACCAACAACCAAGCAATTTAAGGTTCTTCACAAACACGATATCACTAGAACCGTTTTCTGTCTTCTTATAAAAAAAGATTTGCTCATTTGCCAGGAAACAAAGCACTTTCTTTCATATTTTAAGATAAAATCCTAATTTTTTTGTTTGTAAGATGGAAAGTAGATGCCAAAGGAGGAAAGACACTTCACGCAGTGTCAAAGCGGCCTGTCCTGCAGTTTGTGTCCATCAAGAGGAAAGACTGTGCGGAGTGGGCCGTTCCTGGGGTTAGTGGCTTTACATTTCTCCCTCTTCCAAAAAGTTAAAAGCCAAGACATTGATGGTGTTGAGTGGTTTAGGGTGTATACAGTACGTTGTCACTGTCTTGTGACTTGGCTGTTTATTTGTATGTTTGTTTTGTAGGGGATGGTAGACGCCGGGGAGCAGGTCTCTATCACGCTGCAGAGAGAGTTCTCAGAAGAAGCTTTGAACTCATTGGTCATCACACCATCAGAGAAAGCAAAAATCAGTGATCGCATCTCCAAACTCTTCAAATCACCAGGGTTTCAGGTCAGGAAAAGCCTCCCACTCTCTCTCTCTCTATCACTTGTTTTCTGCCACCTTTTAGTCAACAGTTTATTTTTTGTCTCCAGGTTTATAAAGGCTATGTAGATGATCCTAGAAACACTGACAATGCTTGGATCGAGACAGTTGCTGTTAACTTCCATGATGACTCAGGTATAAATATTACGAAACATTTATTTTTTAAATTGCTATAATATTTTGTTTAAAAATACAAATTATGGATTATCTTAACTACGACTACTAATTGCATACTTAACGTTCCCTAAGTTAAATACAGACATTGGATAAAGCCAGGTTCTTGTTAAAATAGGGAATTAGTATTACTCCATTTTTTTTAAATACCCTTGGAGGTTATCTAGGAGAAATCTATTGACGCAAATAGACAAAGTGTAATAAAAAGACACTTAAATGTGGAATTTGAATGTTTTTGCCTTTAGTTTCTCATCTTAATTATCCAAACGCTGTTCTTGAGATATTTTCTCTCTGGTGGCAACAAACAGGTTTTTTTTAGGGCCATGACATATTTGTTGTTACCGTAGGCAACAGTGTGAGCGAGCTGCCGCTGCAAGCTGGTGATGACGCAGGAGAAGTCCAGTGGGTTGATGTTGACTCGTCCTTCCCGCTCTACGCAAGTCATTCCCATTTCCTGGAGCTGGTTGCCAAAGAGAGGAAAGCTCACTGGTAACCAAGGACGACGGACTCTACTCTGACACCACGATGAAGGAAACATGAAGAGCCGCTCTCTGTGTGCTGAGGATGCATGGCATCTAACATTATGCAAGTCTTACCTCACTAACTTAAACATAATAATCATATTTGTAAAAGCAAAAAAACGTTATATGCATCTCTAGTTTGACATTCATATGTATGCCCACTAATGAATGATACATTGTGACTGCAGAATCTATTAAATTAATTAAACAAACAGGTTAAAGGGGCCCTATTATGCTATTTTTCAGCTTTCATATTTGTA